TGCAACCACTTCGCATGCATTTGCGTTACCGTCAGCTGAATATTCGATCACACTACGTAGTCGTTAGGACTGTGACCTTTTGGCGCAACCACACTGCGCTTACCTGTGGCATATTGACCTTCGGTACATTCACCTGGCCATCATCTAGAGGACACTTTCAAACGTCAGTAAACAGAATCATCCATGGGCACACTCGCGTAGCAGTGCCGTCTGGGAGCCCTTGTAATGCCCTGCGACGTGAGATTTCTGGCACCGCCCGACTTGGGGGATGCGATTAATTATCCCTCAAGCCAAGTGCAAGTCCTGTGCAAGGAGAAGCTGAAGGCGCCTAGCAGGGACACACACACACACAAAAGAAAAATATCCATTCAAACAAATATGTAGGAAACTTTGCGGGTTTGGGGGACCCCAGGTTCCCCGAGCGCCCCGGGAGACCCGAAACGGCACCAGACGGCCCCCGGACGCCCCCGAAACGGCACCTGAGCTCTGGGGAGCTCCGAGACGGCCCAAGGAGGCCCCGAGACGACCAAAGACAGCCCCAAGATGACCCAACACGGCCCTCCCTCGTCCCAAGACGGCATCATTTCCCGCCAAGACGCCCCGAGACATCTCCGAAGGGACACCCTACAGGGCGCCAAGAAGCCGAAATCGTAAATACTCATTTGGTGTTCCACGAATTCCTCCAGGATCGCCCCGAGACGGCCCAGGAGACGGCCAAGAGAGCCCCAAGACAGCCCAGGAGGGGCCCAAGGAGGGTCCAAGAGATCCCCAAGACGGCCCAATAAACTCCAAAGATGCCCCCAAGATGGTCCAACAAGTCCCCAAGAGACCCCGAAGACAAGCCATGAAGGCCCCGAGTCTGCCCACGAAGGCATCAAGACGGCCGAAGATGCTGTCAAGACGGCCCCAAAGGGCCAAGACGGCCCAAAAGAACACTAAACGGGCCCCAAAGAAAGCTTGAAGAGGCGAATCGCACACCGCAGCTTGCTGGCATTTGCGCATCAGAAACAGGCCCACACGAATTATCTGTATATCTATACACATACGCATATATATATATATATATATATATATATATGCATACATGTATATATGTGTGTATATTTGTACATATGTATATATATATATGTGTATATATAAATACATACTTACTAGAACCATCGCGCGCTTCGCGCGGGCTCAAGTTTTAGCTAGGCTTGATGGGCGAATACATGGGCTATCATCCTTGTAGTTTCTTGCATCCAGGGACTCCCTTGGAGGCCCTGCGCAAGCCTCGGATTCGTATAGAAGGGGACCTGCGGAAACGCAAAAATGATTAATTGCCGTTAGGTGTTCAACGATTTGGGGCCCTCGAAGACGTCCTGGGTTCTCTTCTGGGGCCTTAACTGTGGTCTGTTGTGCAAGAGTAGACAGGGGGCGAACTTGGGGAAAAAATTGAATGGTGGGATTTTTCTTTCTGTTCGAGTTGTGGTGCCTGGGCTGTGGGTTTGACGTTTTCTGCATGCAGGCCACGGTCTGTTGGGATGCCTCTCGGGGTCTTCGTGCAAAAATAAACAGGGGGTGTGTTTGAACAAAAAGGAATTTCAACATCCCACTGCTTCAACTCATGAGATCATGGGATCTCGATTTCTACAATGGCTTCAGGGGCAGCCAAGAGGACACGAAGACGATCCAAGAGAGTGCCAAGACAGCGTCAGCGAGTTCAACAACATTCCCGAAACACTTTTGCATGTGACCAGCAGTCTTGATGCGGCTCGAGGAAGAGGATGGGTAGTAGGATTCCCAACTTGAAAAACATGGAATCTCTGTAATTACCCTTTTTTCTAAATTCCTTGGTCTTGGAGCGTTGGAAGCGGGAAAACGTGAGAAGGCGAAACACGTAAACAAAAACACTGAAAACCAACGTTTTTACTCTCTTCGGGCTCTCTCGGGACGGCTCACGAAGCTCTCTTGGGCTATTTGGGGGGCCTCGTCGGTTTTTTTGGGGGCCTCTCGGGGGTCTGGGGTGTGTTGAAGGCCTCTGGGTGGTCCCGGAGTCCTCTCGGAGGTCTCTAGCGGCCTCCTTCTCCCGCTCTTGGGCTCATCTGGGGCCTGTTCTTGCGTGGTCTGGGGCTGTCCCGGCGCTTCTTCGGCAATCTTGGACCCGTTTTGGCCCGTCTTGGGGCCGTCTTGGGAGCCTCTTGGGCGGTCTTGGGGGCCTCTTCGGCCGCCTTGGGCCGTGGAACCATGAAATGGTGAGACAGCCAAAAACCTTGCAAAAACGACAGAACATTCACGATTTTGGGTTCTCCGGGCACTCTCGGGAGGCCTTCCGGAGCCTGCTTGAGGTCTCTTGGAGGCCTCCTGCGAGTCTGGAGTGCCACACGAAAGCTATCCTGGGTTGCTTGGGAGCGTCGTGGGCAATTATCCTACGTTGTGGGGGTTTCTTGGGGTCGTCTTGGAATGCATTTGGGCATTGTGGGGGTTCCCCAGGAGGCCGGGAAACGCGGTGCCCGGAGCGTGCACAACATGTTCCGGGAATGTGGGACCCCCGGGAGGAGGGGGCGCGCATTTCTTGTGTTTGGAAAAAAGAAATATCTGAAATCCCACCAGCCCTCTGGGCGTAGGTGGTCTAGAGCAGATCCTCTTCCACCCCTCCCTCTTCCCCCTTGGGGAGGGGTTTACCCCTCCCCCTACCCCCTCCCCTGGACCTGGACGGGGGGGGCCGCGGCGCGTTGGAGCGTCCAAGATGGCCAAAGATGGCTTCAAAAGCGCCTCAGAGAGCCCAAGATGAGCTCCAAGATGGCTCAAGATAGCGCAAGATCGCTCACGATGGCCCCCAAGATGCTCCAAGAGGCCCCAAGACGATCCCAAGACGGCTCCAAGTGGCCAAAGAGCTCCCTAAGGAGGCCCCGACGGGGCCAACATCGCCCTCAAACCTAAGGAAAAACAATGTTTTTTGCTTTCTCGCCTTTTCGCTTACGATGGACATCCGAGGCCTCAATATGGCTCCAAGGTGGCCGAAAAGGGCCCCACGAGAGGCCCACGAGAGCCCCAAGACAGCCCCAAGAGCGCTCCAAGAGGGGCCCAAGAGGCGATTTATGGGGCTCCCGAGGGGGGAGGCTAATTGGAGCTCCCCTCTTTTTTGATCGATCTCCTCCAAGATGGCCCCAAGAGCGCCCCTACAGCCCCCAAGAGCGCCCCAAGAGCGCCCCAAGAGGCGCCAAGACGTCCCCAAGAAGCGCCCAAGAGGCCTCCAAGAGGCTCCCAAGAGACCCCCAAAGAAGCCTCAAGAGGATTCCCGAAAAGGCATTCAAGACGTTTCTGGTTCTTCGGTTCGCCGTGCTCTTCCTTTTCCTCTTCCTCAACCACCTCTTCCTCTTCCTCCCTCCTCCTCCTCCTCCTCCCCCTCCTCCTCCTTCTCCTCCTTCTCCTCCTTCTCCTCCCTCTGCTCCTTCTCCTCCTTCTCGTCCTCCTCGTCCTCGCCCTACTCCATATCCTCCTCCTCCTCCTCCTCCTCCTCCTCCTCTTCCCCCCCCTCCTCCTCCTCCGACGACGACGACGAGTCCTCTTCCATCCTCCCCCTCTCGGGGTCTGTGACAGCTTCCCCCGCCCTTTGTTATTCTGCATGCTCCCCGACTTCCCTGATCACCTCAACTCCCCTGAGCATCGTCTCTGGATGGGCTGGTGGGGATACGCGAAGCGTCAACAATTCCCTTTTTGGGGTTCAAGCTCCTCGGGGTTGGAGCGTTGGAAGCCGCAAGACGTGAGACGGCGAAACATGTGACACAAACCAGCGTATTTACCTTCTCCGGGTTCCCTCGGGGGACAGGTAAGGAATTACCCCGTTTAAAAGCACCCCCTCTAACTGAGACATCAATACAACAAAGCCCCACAAGAGTTCTCAACGCCGTGGACGGCACTCGCGCACTCGCGCCGCGAAGGTGGCACTGTGACGCTCTGAGGTCTCACGCAATCAAAACGAAAGCTGCATCTCTGCCATAACTGCAGCACCATCATAGCCATAGACGCGCGCTATTCGATGGGGCGACCATCTGCCTCCCAACATCACCTTAGATCTGATCTCCCGAGGACAGAATCTCGCGGGTGGCCCCCCCTCGCAGCAGATTATAAGGCGAGAGCCGAGGGCGACTGCGCCCGATCCCACGCAGGGCTCTGCGGAACAGCTGATGAACGCACGAGTCGAGGGGGGCCACAAGCGGGCAGATGTGTCACGACGCCAGCGCCAGTGGACTAGGGCCCCCGCGCACGGGGTCGTCGAGCGCGACATTCCCACGGGCACCTTTGTGGCACGATGTCTTCGTCCAAGGGAGGCCGACGACGCCGTGCCCGCCCGGGCGCGAGGACATGAAGGCCCCGCAAAGGTTGCGGGCTTCCCAGCGCGGAGGCGAAGGTGGAAAGCGGCCATCACGACTGACGCGAAGGCCAGCGCATCCGCGGCAAGGGCCCAGCCCGCGAGCGGCGGCATCGGCGGCGCTCGAGAAGGGACCTCAAGGCGCCCCCAGACACACATGACACGCCAGGCCCCAGGCACATGCATCCTGGTCTTCAGGAGGCGCTGGGCACCGCTCGAGGTTTCACTAGCCTGCCCCTTCATGGCGCCATGCGCCCGCAGGAACTCAAGATACTCTTGAAAGGTCAGGTCCATCTCTCCCCAATCTGTCGACAGTGGCACGTGAGCGGCGACTGCGTTGTCATCGAACTTTTGAGCGGCCTTGAGATGGCGCCTCAATGTCTGGGTACCTATTCTGGCGCCAGTCAGTCGGACGTCCCAGGCAAGCTCGGGTGGCGCGGCGATCTGCAGGCCTCGCGCGCTCAAGCGTCAATCGAGACGGGGTATCTGCGGGGTTGCGGGGCGAGCTCGCGAAACCGAACGCAGTCCGCGCCCCCGCCGCCAGCTCCCGGGCAGAGAAGCTGCGAACCACCTCGTTAAATTGCCTGCTGCTGAACCGGTGCTTCGACAGCGCGCTGATGTTGAGCGCGCCGCAGCTCGGGCTCGC